AACAGCAAAGAAAAGAACTAGAAAAAGAAACACGAAAGAGAAAAGAATATATTCATGTGAAATATGAGGGGCTTGGCTAGGAGGGTGTACCTGTTCAGCAACAAAACCATACAATGTAATTAGTTGTTAGTCTTCCAACACAATGAACTTTTGATGCAGTTGCAGATGGCATGTGTTTCTGTCATTTTATATATATTCACTTCAAAATGAAAAATAAGGAAAAAGTCAGAAAATGGGAGGACATAGTAATAATTATAAAAAGTGGTTCAGTTGCTGCCTGTTAGTGCTAAACATCATTTATTCAAGACAAATGCAGGTTGGCTAGAGGATGCTGCTTATTTTGCTGCCATAGACAACTCTTTAAACACTATTAGCTGGTATGATTGGCCTGAACCATTGAAAAATCGCCATCTTGCAGCTCTAGAAGAAGTTTATCAAAGTGAAAAGGATTTTGTAAGACCTCTTTAAATCTTTAGATGCTGACCAAGTTGGATCCTTGAAATTGGGGAAACACTGAACATTGATCTGATTCTACCTGGAACAGATCGACACTTTCATTGCACAACAGTTCTTATTCCAAAGGCAATGGCAAAAAGTTCGTGACTATGCACGATCAAAAGGAATCAGTATTATGGGAGACATGCCAATATATGTTGGCTATCACAGTGCTGATGTTTGGGCCAACAAGAAACATTTTCTGCTGGTTAGTATCTCTGTCGACCTACATAAGTTGGTGAATTACACCTCTACCAACTTCCAATTCCTTCTGATCTGCATAATCCATCTATCTCTTTGGCAGAATAGGAAAGGTTTCCCTCTTATAGTTAGTGGTGTTCCTCCAGACGCCTTTAGTGAAACTGGTCAACTATGGGGCAGGTCAGTGTTACTCTGAAACTAGATTGTTAAAAAAACATTTCTTTTATCTAAAATATCTAGTTGAGTATGGAAGTATATATAGTTATTTCTTTTAGAAGATATACTTGGTGGAAACTTGTTGTTTTAATTGATTTCAGGAATTCTTACTGGCAGATCATATCTTATTTCAATGTTAAATTGTCAGGTTGTTGTGCTATCCAGTATCCACTACTTAGTGTTTTTTTTTTTTTTGGCTAAAAAGCCCGCTCTATGACTGGAAAGCCATGGAGAAGGATGGATTTTCGTGGTGGATACGCCGCATTCGACGTGCAACGGATCTTTTTGATGAATTTAGGATAGATCACTTTAGAGGATTTGCTGGATTTTGGGCTGTTCCTTCTGGTAACTAATGTTGGATGTTTACAGGCTTACATGTAACCTTATATCAGTTGGAAACTCATGTAATTTTTATCATCCATATGCAGAAGCAAAAGTCGCTATGCTGGGACGGTGGAAGGTCAGTTCTGTTCATATTTATTTCATGTTTTGTTCTTAATATGAACTATCTTAATGTTTTATTTTAATGACTTAGGTGGGACCAGGAAAACCGTTGTTTGATGCTATCTTCCAAGCTGTTGGGAAGATCAATATTATAGCAGAAGACTTGGTATGTCTTAGGAGAGCATACTTCAGTTTTTCTCTCTGAAATCTCTCATTTTGCGTCGATGTCTGCTTTAATGGCTCCTACCTATCATAAAGAAATGCCTGCTTTATTGGCTCCTACGATAAAAAATAAATGTCTGCTTTAATGGCTCCCTGGAGCATTCTTTTGTAATCTGGTAGATATTTGAATGGTCAAACACTCACAATAACTTCACCTTTTTGGAAGTAAAAAATATTGCCTTTATAGAAGATAAAAGGAGATTATTGCCGACCCTAATTTGTTTGGGACTGAGGCGTAGTAGTAGTTGTTGTAGAGATAAAAAGGAGAATAAAATATTGCATGTAACCCATTTGTTGGGCAATTTCTGGTTGTATCGGTTAAAAGAAGTAACTTGACAGCAGATCTTCACGAACCTGTTTGTGTTCAAGCAAACGTACCATATATTGTAGCCATTTATCTTTCATCATTGTTTTCTCTCTTTCGGCTTCATTTCAAGGATACAAGTAATTTCTCAAATATCAAGGTGAGCCTATTCCTAGAGGCTAGAAACAAACTGTGATGGCCATGTGAATGTAGATGGCGTTTTCTATTGCATTTGGATTAAGCTCTAACACCCATTCAAGTTGAATTCCAGTTTCATGCTTATGGTCAAATCTAGTCGTTGTAGATGAATTTAATTCAGGTTGAAACAATGATTAGACTTGTTGTGCGTTTACAAGCTGAATGCTTGTTCCATGCAATTGTATGCCTGCCATGGTAAACTTTCTTTTAAAAAATTTCCTCCCCTGTTTGTCAACAGATATCACTAGATCATAGTTATCAGGGAGTTTAGATTGATCTTTGTAGGTTCTTTATCATTCTGAACATTTGTCAGACTGTCATTAAGGAATAGAAATGTATAATGGCATCTATATATTAGAGATTGAGTCTAGAAGATGTCAGCGAGGTCTACATTGCATACATACAACACTCACACATGTGAATGTGTTGTGTATGTATAAATGTATATATATGTATATTTTATTACTGATAAATATATATGTACATTCTATAAAAGATTTGACTATATATACTTCCCAGTCTTACTCAGCACCTACAAAAAGGTATTTTCTCTTTACACCACATACATCTGTTTGCTCTTTCTGGCGTCAGGTTTTTGATTTATTGATATCCAGTTAAGTTATTACGGCTTGATAAGTCCAGTTAAGAAATTTGTACTGTCAGTTTGAATAGTCCAGTTAAGAAATTTGTACTCTGCCAATTTGAATAGTTTTGAGGTAGAAGAGAATTTTTAATTTGTTCATGTAGTTTATTGCTTTATGGTTATATCTTCTCATTTCCTAGTAATGCCAAATGACAGGGAGTAATCACCGAGGACGTTGTTCAGCTTAGAAAGTCCATTGAGGCACCTGGCATGGCCGTACTCCAGTTTGGTAGCTATATCCTCTGTTGACCTATAGAATGTGTACAGAAAGTAGTGCCTGAAATTTATGTGGCAATACTCTTGGCATAAACTTGTTCTTCTTTGCGTCATTCAGGATTTGGCAGTGATGCAGAAAACCCTCATCTGCCTCACAATCACGAGCAGAACCAAGTAGTGTATACTGGAACTCATGATAATGATACGGTAATCATCAGCGCTTGATCTGATTTGTTGTGTTTCTTTTTTTGCATAACAAAACCAAAATTGCTGGCAGCTACAGTTCTCCCAATTGTTTTACCTTTTATTTTGTTGAAAGGTTAAGATAGTTTAACTGTTTACGCTAGATAAAAAAGTTTGTCCAATATTTCTAAGCATTTTCTTTTGTTTGCATGTCTTAGACTCGAGGTTGGTGGAACATCTTGCCACAGGAAGAGAAATCCAATGTTAGTATGATGAATTGACTAAACTGTGTGGTCTTTTACTTTACATAACATGATGACGATGAGCATCAGTTTGTTGATAACTTTAAACTGCTGTATCAGGTATTAAAGTATTTATCAAACATTGAGGAAGAGGAAATATCATGGCGCCTGATCGAAGCTGCAGTTTCTTCTGTAGCCCGTATCGCAATTATACCAATGCAGGATGTACTTGGGCTTGGGAGTGAATCCCGAATGAATATTCCAGCAACTCAGGTAAAGAAAGAAATCTTTTTATATGTAGTGACCAGTGAGTGACCAGAGCTAGCTCTTTATTACGTATAGGCTGGTTGTTGGAAGAGTTAGGTTGAAGTTAGATAAATACCCTAAACCTGCTGTTAACTGTCAATTGCTCTTGGAGGCATATCTGAAGTTATCGTCCTGTTTGTTGTTTGGTCAGCTGAGTGAAGGAGGAATGTTAGATAACTCTGCAGACTCTTTTCTTCCTACTTGCCGCAGTTTTTGGTCTGCGTTCACAGTTCCCTCATGTTTTAACTGTTTATGTGTATATTCATAGCTTATAGCTTCTGGTTCTATTGGCACTTTGGAAGTCTTCCAAGTTCCAGCTTTTAACCAAAAAACTGTTTCCTTGACTGTTGAATCTCACTAACTTTTCAATAGCCTAAGTTCTGATGGCATCTAGCAACCACATCAATATATTAGCATTTACTTGTTTTGGAGTGAAACTGTCATTCTTGCTATCTGTTAGATGAGGAAATGAGTTGTTATCTCCTTGTATGGTCTTGGGCAATCTTCACCTCATGAACAGACTTTTAAGGTTAATTTGGGCTCAAGATCCACTCTCTTGCATGGTATCTGTGCGAGACTTATTCGTGTTCTTCGTTCACCTAATGTTGGGTCCCCATATTTTATTGTCCATGCTTCAGATGTCAGGTCTGTGTGTGTAAGGGGGGGGGGGGGGGGGGAATTACATTGTCCCGCATTAGTTGAGGGAATGAGTTTTCTCTTCTTGTTACGGTATTGGGCAATTCTCCTCCAATGAGCTAGCTTTTGTGGTTCAGTTCAGTGAGGCCCGGATTCATTCTCTTAGCAAATCCTAATTGTGATACCTTTTTCTTTCTTTTATTTTTTCTCTAATTGCAGTTTGGAAACTGGAGTTGGAGGATTCCTAGTTCTACCAGCTTCGACAGCTTGGATGCGGAAGCAAAGAAGCTAAGAGATATACTTGCAACTTATGGGCGGTTGTGATGATGAATGATGGTTAAAGATGTTAATGTGCTCTCTGCATGCTGCTTCCTGCAATGTTTGTGCGCAAGATGGCCGCACATTTTCATAGCTGAAGGACATTCTCAGGCTCGGTACACAAATGTGCTAGGCCATAGAATGAGATCTGCATACACATTGTTTCCGCCACAATTCGCTGCTTCATCACGACGAAGGAATGCCAGTATGTTCATTTTTGTGATCTTTAGGCCCCCCTGAGGAAGCAGATAAGCAGACTAAAACAGACTAGGAGTTCTATTATTCTATATTAGTCGGTAAAAACTACTGATGTTAGAGAAATGCCATATTTATGCAGAAATATGTCAAATGTTAAATCTCTACTGTTCTAAAATAAATAACGCATCTTTTTGTGTCATTTCTATTTGGTGCAAGTGATACAATACTTCTAGTTCTGTCTCTGTTTTTCCAGAAGCTCATTTAAGAAAGTATAGTTCCTTAAATATGATTCTTTTGGACTTTTTCACATCTTTTTTCCTGACGAACTTGTTTCCTTTTCTTATATCTTGTTTAGCATTAGACTAACTGAATAAAATATATATTTACTTCAAATCATCTACTCCATTTTTAAAAACATTTCTTCCTTGAGAAGGATAAAACTACAAAAGTAAATGAAGTGAGCAATTAATTAGCGATGACTTATTGATAAGACGTACCTAGCATGTTTTTCATCCTAACTAGTATTAGTACCCGCGCCATGCGCCGACATAAAGCATATCAAATTTTGATTTGGATTATTTAAAATATGTGCAAATAACCTTAAATTAAACCTTCTATATATAAATTATAAATAGTTATTTGATATTAATTAAGAAGCAGGACATAAAACCATTTTTCAAATCTCATAGTGGATAATTTGTTTTCTTTTTCTACATCTGTAATAATCCAACCCCTTGATTTTGAAACTTGTATTATATTTTACAGTCAATATTAAAGAATATTATACACGTAACATTGTGATCTGTCTTGTTTGAGCACATTAAATTATATTATTTTAACAAAATTCTTACTACCACTTTATTTTTCGTCTCAAATTCAAATATTCTTATCCTTCTACATTTTTAGACATAATTTTTTTCTTTTTTTTCCTTGCTTATAGTTTTTGCATTATTTATTACTTAATATTGTTATACTATAATGTGATCTTTTATTAATCTTGTTTATTACCTTTTTAATAATCATCAATAAATGTAAATAAAATTATTCTTGAAATTTAATGTATTTTTACACTATTATCCACTTACTCGGATCTCTTTCTTCATTTAAATCTATTAATAATATATTTGACTACTATTTAATAATTTAATTTATTTATTTTTAATAAATTTAAAAATATAAGTATCCTCACACTATCTCTATTTTCCTCTTTATACATAATTTTTTACCTATACTCAAAATAAACAAAATTTCAATTTTCTATTCAATTAAAATTCAAACTGAAATATGATATTTTTCTTAAATTTGATAGTTCTCTATTGGGAACATATATATCACATTTTATTTTAAAATATAACTTTAAATTAGTCTAAAATTAATATATAAGTTCTTTTATAATGTTTCAAATCTATTGAATTTTCTTATTATTATTTTTTATATTACATGCATTTATTTTGTAATCTATTGAAACAGATTTGGCTTTTAAGAACTTTATAATCTCAAATTCAAATAGTCTTTCCCTTTCATTTCTAATAGTAAATTTTTAATAATTTAACGTAATTTTGCTATTTTTTAAATCTAATATTTAGTCTTATTACGTTATGTGACTTTTCATTAACTTGTAACTTTATTTAATATAATTATCAACTACTGTTCTTTAATATAATATAGATAAATATATAATTGTTTAATCATAAAATAAATATTAATTTTTTTAAAAAATATTGCTTGAAAATTTTAAATTATTTAATTTTTAATAATATTTTTAAGTATTGTATATTTACTTTATTTTATTTTCTAAACGTATGATTATAAATATCCTCACATTATCTCTAATTTATTTTTATTATTCAATATTAGTTTTTGATTTTATCTATTAGCCTTGAGTTACGTGGACTTATCCATATTATGACTTTATTACAATATAAAAAACCTTCTCATCTCAAATTTAAGTTAGTTTTTACCCTTTTTCTCTATGATAAAAAATCTGAATTTTTATTTTTTCTCTATTTATTATATTATTCAATTCCTAATATTATTACACTGTCATGTGAATTTTTATTAGCTTGTTTGAATTTAATATCTATTTCTACCACACTCATTCTAATATAATATAGATAAAAATTAAATAGCTTTCTCATCTCAAATTCAAATAATTTTTATCATTCTATTTTCTAAATTGGACCTTATTTTCAAAAATTTATGTTATGCTTTCAAACGTAAACTAACTGTACTCAATTCAAATATTAACCATATAAAAATTTTTTCTTAATTGTTTGAACACATTATATCTACACGTTGTAATATTTTACGAATAAAATATTTATTTTCCCGATTTATCAATATTAATATGACTTTATTATTCTTGTTATTAAAATAGTTTTTACTAATTATTTAATTTTTTTCTTAACTTATAAATAATTTTTGTACTTTATGTAAGATCTCATTTTGCTGCTTGAATTTCTTTAATTTTAAACTCAATAAATCTTGAACATCTTAAGTAAATTTAGTTTTATTTTATATTTAACTTACGTCCAAAATATAAATAAGTCATAAAACTTCAATTTAACGTATTTTTATAATTTTTTTCATTTTTTTATTTATAGTTTTTAATTAATTTTTAGTTCT